TGCTGAACCCCTTTTCTGGAAACACATCAGAAAGGCGTGTACTGTACCAGATTATATCAAAGCCAAAGAGGCACATCCCTAAATGAAGAACAGGTCGATGATGCAAGCTCAAAATCAAACAGCATGACAAGCCAATTATCGCAAAAGATAACAGAACTTTCAAAACGGATTAACTCAATCAGACACAAAACAGATCTGTCAGGAGATCGAATAATGCGCGAAGGAGGGGAAGGATACTGAAAAGGAAACGTTCCCACCAATCAAGCATGTAGAGACCGAAAGTGACATTGTAAAGGTAGATTTTGCGTTGAACCCAGTTCATATCTGATCGAATCCTACAACAGGAGGCGGAGAACGAAACGGGTAAAGACGACGTAAACCTGGATTCAATTGGTCGGAACCCACCCAATCCAACAAAAAAGATCGTAAATTTACCTGGGAAATCCGACAGAATTTTACGAAGAAGAGATTCCAATGACAAAACTTCGATCCAGGAGATCAGGACGTTAAAATTTAGAAACGTCAGGTACGTGAATGCAAACACATGAAATTAAAATCGGACTTTTTTAAACATATCGTAAACTTTATGTAATTTCCTCAATAATTTTTCTAGGAGATAAACATTTTAAAATTTAAACTTACTGATTTAAAATCATTATCTACGAATTAAGTAAAAGTATTATCGTTTATTATGTAAAATACAGAATATTAAAAAATAGACTCGAGCAGGAAAAAAGGGCTCGTCACTGTGGCAGCAATCCCATAAAATGGGCTTTGCTCTGGGCCCTGTTTAAGCACGTGCTCATCACCTTTGTTCTACCTTTTAAAATAGCCTTAAAAATCTCAACCGTCCATATAGGTTAATTTTCAGCCGTCCGATCGTAGCAAGATCAGGTCATTGTCTGCCTGTGGGGCAGAAGATACAGAGTTAATGATACAAGGACTTGAGCTGCTGACTGATCAGTCTGCTGTTATGAATCGCCGATTGAATCTCCAAATCTTCCGACCACCATTGTTCTAACCGATGTGCTTCTAGAAACTTCTGTTTCCCTTTCGACACCACGAAAATCTTCCCTGCTTCTCTGTCTGTGTAATAACAACAGACGTAGTCACCGTCGTTTACGTACAAATGGGGCAGCCATTTCTTTACCTCTTCAGAAGCTTTCTCTCCCTTTCTCAACCCGGAAATATTTTCAGAAGAACTACTCGTTCCTTCATCGGCATTGTCCACGAGAGGTTCGTTTCCCCCGGGGAGCATCGACCTGAATCTTTTCCAAGCGTCACCGGCCCTTTCTCCGATGTTTCTCAGGCTCATAGCGAGAGAAATAGAAGGCGGGTTGAACAAATGGGCATCCACGAATAACCCTTCTTTAGCCATGGCTTTCCCCACCTGTAGAGCGAAACCGGCTCCCAAAGAATGCCCAGCTATGCATATGTTACTGCTCCCGTATCTCTGCGTAACTGATCTCAGTGCCTCTAGAGCAACCTTAAACCTTGCAGAACCTTTGAGGCTCTCCCGAGTTAGAAACCGGAGGTCATCTTCGATGTCACGTCTTATTGTCGGTGTTTTTAGCAACGTTCCCCGTAGTGCCAGCACGCCTCTTGGTGCGCCAGTGGGTCTGATGAGAACCAAGTCAGCCATTGCAGCTGCTCGGTCCCATTCAAGTACGGCCCCGAATATGGAGCCGTCTCTCTCGTCAACCAGTGTTTGCGATAGCTTGTACTTAAAGGGTATCCACCATTTTGGAGCAAGAGCATTGTGTTTCTTTCTCTTTTCTTGTCTATCGAGTTCGAGCAAGTATGCTGCTTGAATAAAGCAGGCCATAACTGTTCTCTTGTAGTTAGGGTTCTTCCTACGAATTCAGACAATCAATTACAGTTAAAAGTTGCATACTTTGTATTGTAGACAGCACAAATTCTCTAGGTTTACATAAAAGCAGGATAGAAAATGATCCGATAAATCGAACTACAACCTCTCAAATTCCATGAAGTGATTCACCCATAAAGTTTAGCATGTTCCAGCTTTCAGGAACCTATAACTTTCAACTCATCTGAGGCAATATCATGGAGAATCCAACGGCAATTACCAAGTAAGAAACAATCAAGAAACAGGAACAGAGCCGTGGGGAGGCATGACAATGATCATCTTAGAATTAGAAGCAGAACAAATGGAATCGTAATGCAACATCTCTTTGCAATTCGCCTGAGAAGAACCTAGCATGGTCCGAAGACAACCTTAATCACCTAACGAAAATGAACCAGACAACAAATTTGGAAATTTTCTAGCTTCTGTTCCTTCAGATCTGATGGACAGATGACAAAGTTTTCCAGTTCAAAGACCCAACAATAAATCTCTGTCTGGAAACCCTAACAATAACATTCCATCCAAGAAAGAAGAGAACAAATCGTAGGAGGAGAAGGAAGCAGGGTTCGACAAGTCGAAGAACAACAAAGTACTTACCAGCTGGAGTTGACGAGGTCTCTCCAGTTTGGGGAAGCCACGTTCCGCGGCCCCGACACGTGAAACGCGTACGGATGATGGGCATCTTCTTCTCTCACCACCACCTTCGCCGGCGTCGCCGCCGCCGCGGCCGCCGCCGTCACCATCACCACCGACTCTGCTTCTGCAATATGTTCCATCTCCCCACGCTTCGCCATCAAACGAGCCCCTTCTCCTTCGAAATCCCTCTCGAATCCACAGAAATGGAGGGTTTTCTTCGTGGGTTTTCGGATTATTTTCACATGATGCAAGTGGGTATTCGAATGTGATCGTATGGTATCGGATTCGGCATTGACGGTGGGGACTTGAAGTTTAATTTCTACGAATTATTTTGGAGTAAACTATTCATGACTGAGGTGCACGTAATCTTAACGGTAATCTCCTTTTCCGTTGTCGGCTCTGTGTGAATACCCTTTGCTTTTCCTTATTCGGAAGATAAATAAATTATTAAAATATTTACTAATCTATAAATTTGCAAATTTTATTTGACTATCTCTTATCCTTTTTGACATGTCATGATATAAAAAGTGTTCTGCATTCGTAAAATCATTACGATAAACAATCATTTATAACTTTTTTAGTTATAAGATATATATGGAAACAATGGGAAAATAACAATAAAACGATGTAGATTGTGAATTAAAATATAGGAAATTACAAGTTCATGGATTAAAACGACAATTTAATAGCTTGTGGTTTTGTTATTTAATAAAAAGGTGTGATTTTTTAGATTCTTTTCCCTGAACCAAATTATATATTTTTGTCTTTAATGATAATTAACATGTATGATCTCCTCTAGATTTGTCCCAAGGTTTCAATGTTTGGCAATTGTATTCAAACGTGAGATTTGGTTGAATGGATAGAAATTTTGTTGGTTGGGAACTTTTTTTTTTTAAGTATATATAAAAGTTTAGTAAAAAGAAATGACACAACTAAGAAACCAATCAAACATTTTTGTATATGCTAAAATACCATATAGTTAATTATAAAAAGAAATGATACAACATTATTCGCCTATGTTTGTTCTCATGAACATCACTTGAAAACAAAAACATATCAAGGAAAAGAACAAGAATATATCAGAAGTCAGTCCATATATATATATATGATCAACTTAATTATCAATTCAGTTCATACCCTTTTCTCTACACAAGAAGAAACCGATCTGATCACTTTTCTCTTAGCATTTCTCCGGCGGCGCCCTGAACTCGTCTCCGGGTGCGTTTCGATCGGAGAGGATCACTGGTTTGTTTGGAAGAGACGATATTTCTCGGTTTCGGATATAATGATAATAATTAGACAGCTTCTCTTGAAACAAGTAGAAGAAGACAATGAAAGAGGTTTGGATGGTGAAGAGGATTGTCCAAATCTTTGCACTTCTTGATGTTTTTGTAGTGTAGGCATTTAGGCCGGTGTATACGTTTATTACTCCCAAAATACCCACCAGTGTTCCTACGAGCCAATGTGCCACAATCCATGGTGTTCTTGCTTTGCCTCCCCTGAAAAAAAAAACCATGCAAATATCACGTATATTGCATGTTTTATGCAAAAATAGAAACAAAATATTAATATATAATTAAGTGATTATGGAAATTATATATGATGGATGATAACTAAAGGCACAATATCAATTAAGAATAAGATATTTATTATGTCAATTATCTTTTTGATTATTTATTTTCTATCGTATCTTTTATTTTTATTTATATTTTTTATATAAATGTATGAATCATTATCATTATTATAATTCAATAAGAAATGTATCAATAAAATGATTATGTTCTTTTTTCTTTGTTGTTTCTTTTTCTTTTTATTTAATTTCCTCATTTTAATTGTAAAGATTTTATAAGATCCGACTGTAAACAATGCTTGATGTTTATATACATATGAACATGTTTTCATTATCAATTATGTTACATAACATAAGGTGATTGTCCATAAATAGTGTGCATGAATATGTAGATGAATGAAGGGGCATTATGATATAACAAGATGAAACATGTAATAACCTTGGGGGTCGAAAGAAACCAAGAAGAGCTTGAAACCAGACGACAAAATATAATCCAAGCCCGAGCCTCTGATGGAAATTGCCGAAGGAGTTGTTGAAGTTCCTTATCGACATGATCGCTCCTACGGTCGCCAGTGCCACCGCGGCCACCTGCTCGTTTCAAATACCGATTCTAACTCTTTTATACGATGGAGGCTATAATATTTGATATATATATATATATTGATTACGTAAAAAGTTTACGTATTAATTTTGGAAAATAATAATAATTAATTTTGAACATTGCTTCAATCATAATCCTTGTGATTAGATGGTTAATAAACATCTGCCTAACCAAAGAAAAAGTAGTCCTTTGATGCCATCCTTACACTTTAGACGACGAGGCATCTTTCGCTTTTTAAATATATTTATCTCTCTCTTTCCACTAATTGCATTTGAAATTTGGACCGACCGATAAACTAATGTCAACCCAAGAATCTTTTCCTTCGTCCGTCTTTAATGATTTCGATTTAGGGGAAGGAGAAAAAGAAGAGACCATATACGATGAACAGAAGATGATTAAAAGGGCATGCCTGGGAAGCGACATGAAGAAGATAGAACAGTCTTCTTCGGCATTGGTCTTTGTTTGACATTCTGATAGAGAGTACTCCGATCGGCGTCAGCAGCCCCATTGAAGCCCACAACAAGAATCCATGAACCTTGATTTCGTACAGAAGCTTCGAGCTGGTCAGGTTCTGTTTCGAAGTCAAGATACGTAGAGAAAAGAAATGGTGATTAGACTTTTGGAGGGGATGAATGGTTGGACTCTTTAGAAGAAGAAGAAGATCGGCTCTCATGGAACTATATATAACAACAAACCTGAGACTGAGAGATACGAGGAGCGCCATTTCCATTGACGGCTAAGCTTCTTGGGCTGTCTTGGGAAAGTGACCATGTCGGCAGAAAAAGAAGAAGAAGAAGGAAAGCAAGGAGGCGATACAGAAGAAACTCCATTGTTAGGGTTTTGAACAGAGATAGAGAGAGAGAGAGATTCACACGTTTCTTTTTTTTTTTTTTGGTGGAGTCTATGTATGTAACATTGAACGAAGAGATCTTATCAAGAAATCTATAAGCAAGATAAACTCCAAGAACTAAAACACACCCACTTACCAAGAAAAGAAGATGGGGGTTCTTCTTGTAATGTCTTTTAGGGTGTAAAAGTGGCAACTTTGCATTATATTAAGTTTTTTTTTTTTGGTGCATGGAAGTTTATGTTTTTTTTTTAATGTTGGGGAGGATGGGCACTCATTTGTTTTCGGCAAAGTGGGCCTAATACTTTGGATAAATCTTTTGAAAAAACTATATAATAAAGTGTGTACAAAGAGTATTATCAGCATCCGGGTCTTGCAAAAAAGTATGTTCTTTTATGATTTCGTTGAAATCTTCAGTGGGAGAATGTCAGAATTTGTGAGATTTTGAGTGGAAACAAGTTGGTTATGGCAGGTTGCACTTTGGACCAAAGATGATATATTGTATGGTATTTTTCTTATACCCACTAACATTAACATAAATTGTGACTGCAATTCATCTCTTCAACAAACATCATAATGTTATTGTAGGACTTGTTTCTAGGAGAAAAAAAAATTCCAATTTTATTTCATCTTTTAATAACAAAAGTTGTCTGTACCCAACACATATCAGAACACTATCAAAGATAATATTGAGAATTATTTTCTACTGTATTAGTACAATAAAAATTTTCCATCATTTTTCAACCATAAATGAAAACAAGAACCCTAATGTATGGTAAAATGGAAAAAAAGGAGTAAAAAAGTTTCCAACATTCAAATCATGCAAAATGATATCTTAAGCCATAGAATTTTCAAAATGTTAATAATTTTTTATTATTTAGAATTGTTGGCATTTCAAATAGATTTAAGATATTTTTTTATGTTCAGAAATTCACAACACCTTTCACTCAACTACCTATCCACATATCCTAAAAGATCGGGTGAATTTTTTTCTATATCTGGATTTGAATCCGTGATAAAAACATGTTTTACATGTTTTATTACTATTAGACTATTCAAGTTTGGGTTATACAAATTCGAGGTTCTCTTGTCAATTTCTTCTCTTCTAGATATTTTTACGGTCTTATAACAAGATATATATGTACATAGGACCAATGTTGTCATGGTCACATGTAGTATTACAGTTGCAGAGATGCCTCGTCATTTTCTTTGTAATCAACTGAGCAAATGTATCTTAGTGGGTCTGTAATCTATTTAGATGTCAATAGCAAATTAAACTTTTTGAATTTGGATAATAATAATAATAACTATTATTCATTGAGTATAAATTTATGCATAATAAATATTTCTATTAAACAGCAAGATCTATCAGATAAATCAAGCTCGATCGTGGCTTTGTGTAACATACAGCTTCTTCATTCAGTGTGTTTCTTCTACCATTTATTCGTTTATTATTGAAACTTAAAAGTTATACAATGTGTTCCCCCCCTTACTGCAACTTATGATCTGTTTATTTCCTTTCATGTGTGTCTACCACGAATTCCTGACATCTGAGCACATACACACACGCATATGTCTATATAGATATGTATGTATGTATGTATACTGTAATCAAGATGCCGAAGAACCTGAATCCGGGAGCTGTTTGGCCTCGAGGGTCTTCTCGTATTCTTCAATGGACTTGAAGAGCTCGGAGAAGTTGCCTTTGCCAAAGCCGCCACACCCGCCTTTCTGGTACTCCTTCCCTTGTTCATCCTTCATCATGCACCCTATTCTCTGGATTATCTCTATGAATATTGTCGGCCTGCCAAATCATTCATATCTTTGCCTTGTCAAGAACTTGTTCTTGATGAAGAACACTTTATTTTTTTGTAGTTTCAATGAATCAACAACTAGCATTCTCAATTCTAAAAACTCCAGCAGCATCTGAACATGACAATGATGATGAATTCATGACCCACCATTTTCAAAACCCCCAAGAGACAGCAAGGTTGAAGCTTTATTGTTTCCTCAAGAAAGCATTCTTATAGTTAACACCAAATTCTGTGGCTTCATATATATATATATGTATGCGCGTATATAGGTAGAGTTATCTTCGTACCTATCACCGAGTGGCTTGGTGAAGATCTGAAGCAAAGTTCCCTGATCATCTCTGTCCACTAGAATCCCAAGCTTCTCGCACTCATTGATCTGTTCATCGCTGAGGACATCGCCGACCCGTTTCTTCAGATTCCGGTAATAATTCGGCGGCGGCGCCGGCATGAATTCGAACCCTCCGACACTGCTCCTCTTCCGCATCTCTCTCAATGTCCTGAATATGTCCTCACTCATCAGCGCCAAGTGCTGCAGCCCTGCACCTTCGTTGTGTTCAAGGTATGTCTGAATCTGACTCTTCCTCTTCGTCCCGTGCACTGGCTCGTTCAATGGCAGAAGCACCGTCTCCTCGTTGTTCGCAAGAACCACCGAATTCAGACCGCTCTCGGCTGTTCCCACGTCATCCGCCGTGAATTCTGCGAACTCGTGAAATCCAGTGAACCCGGAGACGTACGTGACCGCCTGTGCAAGCTCCGGGACGTTTCCCACCGCGTGGTCCAGCCGTCGTATCCCGTAATCCAACGGAAACGACGTCGTATCCTCCACCGGCTCGAATCCTGGGAGGAAATCGAAATCGAAATCGGCTTTATTGACGTAACTGACGTACCGGAGTACGACGTCTCCGTACAGTTTGACCTCCGCGATCGTGACGGCTCCAGCGAGAACGACCGGCGGAGAAGACGGAACGGCGCCGTTCGCTACGCTGATGGAGAAGGCGGACTCTGCGTCTTCCACTTCGATTCCAACGGCTCTGACGCTGAGACCATGGGAAGCGAAGAAGGAGCAGCAAACCGCGGGATTGAAGGTCGGGATCGAGGCCGTCGTCATTGGACGGATCTCGGCAGCGGCGGCGGCGGCGGCGAGAGATGGCGAGTACGGAGCCGTGAAAAGGAAACGGAGGTCGCCGGATGTGAGGAGGTAGGAGGCGTGGACCATATTTCCGGTGGAAAGATCAGATTTGCCGGCGATTCGCATGCCGAGACCCCAAGAGAAGCGACGAGCAACATTGGTGGCGTCGCCGCACCAGAATTCGACATGGTGGAAGCTTTTCACCTTGAACTTGTCAGATTTGGGGTTCGTCCTGACGAATTTGGAGAATCCGACGAGCTTGAATCCCGCCGGAGACGCAGTTCCGCCGTCGGGACGGATCTGCGAAACGGCGTCGTTTTCTTGACCCATAGTAGGAAACTCCTCAGTGCCAACTATGGAAACAGTATTATTGAGAGAACAAACGAAATATATATAGATTGTGAAATTATATTATTATTTTAACTTGTGGTGCGATGGAGATGGCGTGGAGGGGATTCGTGTATTATGCAGATAAGATGTGGGTTTAAGTTGCAAGGAGCGAGATGATGACACGTGGACGGTGGATTATGATTAAGAAGAAGCGTTCCGTGATGGTTTTTGGTTGAAGAAGCTTCTTTCTTTGAGCTAAATGGGACGTGTTAAATTTATCCATCTCCTCCTATCATCATCATCATCATCTGAAGAGCCAAAGCATGGATACTAATAGAACAAGAGACTCGGAACATGTGCTCTATGACTTATGTGTAGGAATAGTATTTGTTCGTATTTTTTCTTTTTTATAATTACGAGGTTAATTGTATCTTTTCGGAATCAATCTTTAGTCATGTAATTAATTGTATCCCTTCTCTTCACCAGTAAAATTGAACCCACATATTTTGTCACAAATCCACCAATGAGATTGAGTCATCAACTAGTGGATTTGTTTGTATTTTATTACGAGATGAACGTTTTTACCATAGAAACCGATTCACACCATTCGTCTTGTGGGCATATAGAATGTGGATGCATGAGATCGTCGAACACCAGCTTGGGCCGAACAACGAGTTCTATGAGTTGAGGTATAGATTATATTTGGATATCCGGAGAGAGAGAGAGAGAGAGAGAGCAGAGGAATAGAGTGAAGGCCGAGACGACGGGATTGAGAGGTCGAGCGGCGAGAGCCGAGGTTGTGTGCGTGTGGTCGAGGCTGAGAGCGACTGGGCAATCAATTCAAGTGCCATTGGAATGTTCCATCAGGCAATAGATCTCGTTGAGGAATGAACGCGTTAGGGAGACCGTGATTAATTACCCAAATGGACGGATGATTTCACCATTTTTACATGTTTCCTTATCATCATCATCATCATCAAATCTTATAACATTTTACACATATATGTACGTGTATATATATCTTCTTAGCTCAGAAAGATTAGCAATGCTCAAGAAAGAAGAAACTCAGGGATAAAAAACACAATTTCCTCTCTTTTCTTTTTAGATTAAAGTCCTCATGGAAAGGAACACAAAGGAAAACACAACACAAGAGTACATGAAACAGAGTCTTTATTCCCCAACACACACAAAGACTTGACTCCCAGAGGAGAGACCAACCAAACAAAGCCAAACCACTTCTTCACTTCAAGAAAGGAGGGTAGAACTTCTCAAGAACCTCCTTCCAGGCGGGTCGGCTGCTGATGTCGTCCCACCACGCGCTCACGTGCTTCCTGTCCTTGATCAGATAGGCCTTCCCGATCGGACCCACCAGGTAGTCCGTGAACGGGAGGTGAGCCAGATCGGCCAAGCTCACGAAATCCCCGGCCAAGTACTTGTTCTTCGACAGGTGCTCCTCGTACACGTCCAGCACCTGAGCCAGCTTCTCCTCGCTCTCCTTTATCAGCTTCTCGTCCGCCGGGAAACCCATCACCGGTGCGAACATTATGTGCATCGTCAGGTTCAACAATGGCGGATGGTAGTTCACGGCCTCCACGTCTAGCCATTGCTCCACTTGCCCTCTCTCTTCCAATGTCTTCCCCAATAGCTCAGGTCCCTGTGACCTGTACTTCTCCGCTATGTACCTCATGATCGCACGCGATTCTGCAAAAACAGGTTACCCATTTCAAGTCTCACCAAACAAGAGAGTTTTTTCTTCTTAATCTGTTAGATTCACCATCTTCTAAACCATTGAGAACAAAATCCCTAAAAACCCATAGTTCTAACAGGGTTTGGCCCTACACAACCCCTCGATTCATTGATAATCGAACTAAATCCAGTTTTTCTCACCAAAAGAGCCTCGTATTCACGATTCGTGTCTCATGTGTGCATATGAAAGGTGTTGATTACGTGTATATATATATATATGTAAGTGCAGTGTATATGTGTGTATGTGTGATCATCGGGAGGAGAAGAGTACCGAAGATTTTGTAGTCTCCATCGACGACGACAGGAACAGATCCAAAAGGCTGAATCATAAAAACGGAGAAGATCAAAATCAGAGATCGATTAGAACAAAATCGAGAAGGAAGACGAAGGAGAATCGAACCTGGAGCTCGAGATAAGGAGGCTGTTTGTGCTCGCCGGTGAAGAGATCGACGGGAACGGTCTCGAAGGGAACTCCCTTCTCCACGAGAGTGACCAAAACTCTCTTCGGAGAGGCAAAGATCGGTCCGTACACCTTCAACACCATTTTCGCTCTTCTGCTGCTTCTTCTCTCGCGCAGATGAGGTGACTGAGTGATTAGCTCTGTCTGAGGACGCGATTTTATATAGATAAAACGCGTTTGCGTTTAAGTGGCGAGTTGTAGCGGTGCGTTATGTCGTTTTCTTTATTGGGAAAAAAATATCCACCACCTGTCAAAATCGTGAATGCTAACCACCTTTTTTTTTTTTTTTTTTTTTAAGTTGAATAGTATATAATATAATGTGCCTTTTTTTGTTTCATGTGTTTTGTAATATATATATATATATATATATATATATATATATATGTTTGTATATATT